AGGTATTTGACTGCTCTTTGATGAGCCACCATATAGATTCCAAGATCACAAGGAGATGCTTCAACAAGCTCCTTACCAGAAGCAGGGAAGCCATCGGCTCTTTTAACTGATCACTCAGCTATTGAGGAAGTGGTAGAAATTTCTAAATTGTTGTCAAGACAACCAAAGTCCAAATATAAATCTCTTTGGGATTCCATCAGGAAGCAGTTTTAAGTGCACGCGCACAAATACCCCAAGGAAATAACAAACAAAGGTCCCTCTTCTCTTTCTCCTCCTCCCCACTCTCTGCTTCCTCCTGCTTCTTGCCACGTGGTGATGTGTGTTAAAAATGCATACTGGGAAACTTTCCACCTTTGGGGTTGAAGCAGCTGCTGCCTCAGTGTTGTTTTTGTTAGGTTTTTTTTTTTTTTTTTTTGTTAACATACTTTGCTGTTTTAAAGGGTGTTGCCTTTAAGCTTCATGTTTCATAACACCGGTTCAGATCACAAAGTGGGATGAATGACACTTTCCTGGTAAGAAGGAAGCTTATAGGGTCCCGCCCAGGGTGCTTCCCCCATCAAGCACACCCTCCTGCAAGGCTGACTTCCACAGGTGGCTGGGCTCAGGCCAGGAAAGGGCATTCACAAAGGCTTGCTGGGCTGTCCCCATGTGGAATGAACCCGAGAAAGTCCACACATGAGATGCGAGCCAAGAATTTATAAGAGGTAACCTAAACAAACCCAGTGCTCTCCAGTCCTTGGTCTTCCAAGAACACAAAGCATTCAGAGAATGTTCCACAGGCCATTGTCCATCCCATGTGGGAGCATTCACCAAAAGAAATAAGCTCGAACATTCCTAACATGCCAGGAAAACAGATGAAGTTCAGGTGAAGAAGACCTGGCACCGGCCCACTTTCAGTCCCACCTGCTGCAAATGACTCTAATGTCAGGAGGTAAGACCTCCGACCCCATGGATGGAGCAGGAAACTACAGCAAACAGTGACCAGTAGGGAGCCTCTGCTGAAAGTTCCCACTGCCCATGCCTAAAACAACCTATACCTTATATGGGAAGCATGTCCCCACGTCCTCACTGAGCACAGGACCAGGCACAAAAAGACCAACCCCTCAGCCTTCCCAGTGACAGTGAGATTTTGTTACGAAGTCTATGTTCTCTGTCACCTTCTAAGGGAAACCCAACAGACAGTGATTCTAACAGGGAGAAAGAAGGTGTGGCTGTCGGGGTCTTGGTCATACCAAGACTTCAGGGAGGTGTCTCATGGCTAAAAACAGGAAGCTGAGTGCCGGCAACACATAAAACTTCACCCAGAAAAGACAGACCTCCCTATGCAAAGAACAAACGAGCCCAATTCCTGTTAAATGTTGAAAGAGCCTGCGCAACACAGGGAGACCCCATCTCTACAAAAATAATAAAAAGTATTAGCTGGGTGGGTGGTGCACACCTATGGTCCCAGCTACTTGGGAGGCTGAGGTGGGAGGATCACCTGAGCTTGGGAGGTTGAGGCTGCAGTGAGCCATGATGGCACCATTGCACTCCGGCCTGGGCGACAGAGTGAGACTCTATCTCAAAAATATACATATTTTTTTAAGGACTTTTGGACTTCGCACTAACTGATCCACAGGGTCTCTGGAATCAAGAGAATAAACCTAAGCCGATGCAGAAGGATCCACTGAGCCCAGGAGTTGGAGGGTGCAGTGAGCTATGATGGCACCACTGTACTCCAGCCTGAGTGACAGAACGTGACCTTGTCTCAAAACAAATAAAAAAGAGAGAGAGAGAGAAGAGAGTAAACCGAAGACAGTTAATGGCTTTGATCTACCTCAAATGTTATCCCACCAGAGAACCAGCCTAATTGGATGAGCAGCTAGAAACACAGCCTGCTGCACACATCTCACCCGGGAAAGAGCCAGCCAAACCAGGGGATGTGGCAAATCTTACTCAGTGTGGACAATAAGATCATTTGGCTTTTCAAATAAAATGTTCTCTGATTTCAATAAAACTGAAACTTACAGCCACCCTCAAAAAAAAGGAAGCCACAGATGTGGTGTGATATGATTGATGTTTCTTTTTTTTTTTTTTTTTTTTCAGATAGGATCTCACTCTGTCGCCCAGACTGGAGTGCAGTGGCACGATTTCAGCTCACTGCAACCTCCACCTCCAGGCTCAAGCGATTCTCCTAGCTCAGCTCCCAAGTAGCTGGGATTACAAGCACAAACCACTACCACTCGGTTATTTTTTTGTATTTTTAGTAGAGACAGGTTTCATCATGTTGGCCAGGCTGGTCTTGAACTCCCAACCTCAAATGATCCCCCACCTCAGCCTCCCAAAGTGCTGGATTACAGGTGTGAGCCACTGCGACCAGCCACGATTGATGTTTCAAAGCCTCCGTCTGCCCAGAAACCTATTCTTTCTCTGCTTTGGCATGGTTCTTCCAACTCCAAGTTCAATTTCCTACACACACAACTGGCAAAGGTAAGGCACTGTCTGCAGGAAGCCACTCAAAGAGTGTGTATCATTCTTGGAGATAAAAGAAGTAAAGAGATTTCCTCCACCTTCCTCCTCTCCCAGGTTTGCTAATTGCCACCCTGAAATGGTAGCATGTATCTTAGGAGATCATCTGGTATAGTCCTCTGCCTTAAGGGGGAACATGTTATTATGCCCATTTCATAGATGAGGCCGCTGAGTTGCTTTGCTAAAGCGACACAGCTCGTTGGTGGGAAGAATGAGAGCCTGGGTTTCCTGCCTCCTGACACAGGGTTCTTGCCACCTGATCAGTGTCCTGGTAGGAGGATATAGAGACCTGTCCCTAAATGCCGAAATTGAAAATAAGGGGTCCTGTGATAGGGCAGGGCTTGGACCACCTCAGTAAAAGTGAGGAGAAAGAGTTTAAGAAAAAAAAGGCAAAAACATGTCTTATTTCATTTTTCCCAAGGCCAATCCTGACAAACACAGCGCACATCAAGGCTGCCCCTTCATTCCTTGGAACACGACATTCCTTCTAAGTCTCTGAAGGCCTTTCCTGAGGCTGAATGGCCCCTCAAGAGGGACGCACGGGATTCCTGGAATTCACGTCTGGAAATATTAGAGGGCCTGGGGAACAGGAAAACCCACTCCAGACACACAAAAAGGTCAACAGGGAAAGGACCAGGCTAGATCCTGGCTGTGGCTGACCAAGTCGGGGGAGGTGGGGATCTGTGCCAGGGCCTACCAGGGAGGGCAGGGCCTTCCCAGATCCTCTGGAATTCTAGGCCAACCAGACAATCGAGTTAAGGTAAGGGATGGTTTTGGCAGAGGCCAGTGATGGGAGCCGGTGGACAGAACAAGGTTCTGCCAGAGGTTCCAGAAGAGCCTAGAGGAAGCCTAGAGACGCTGGCACAGTTCAGTCCTCACCGAAATCATTTCCTCTTTCTACAGTTCTTGTATCCCCATCTTGACAGACCAGTTCGCACAAGAATGCGACTCTTTCGCTGCTCTTTTTTAGGAAATGGTTTTCATGAGACCAGCTTTGCCAGTGACATGGGCGGGTACACCAGATGCCAAAGGCTGCTGAAAACGCCCTTAGAACCAGCTCTTCTTTAGAAGAAGGAATTCTGGAATGCGATGTGGGCCCCCGAAAGGAAGCGACCCTACGTTTATCTGAATTCTCAGGGGCGGTTCGCCAGCGGCTCCCTGCGTCCTGGCCGGGTCTCCGGTCTGCAGTCCCCTGACCGCAAGGATTGACTGCCTCTTTGTTTCTGGCGGCTTTAAGGCTTCTTCGGGCTGAGAAAGCCCCACTTTAGGAGAAGTGGTGGTGGGAGGACTTTCCCAGCCTGCTGCTTTCATCCGCAGCAGGGAAGTTTGCAGGGCGCGCTCCGCACAGGTCACCGCCTCACTTCCACCCCGGCCGCGCCCTCGGCTTTCACCCCCTTGGCTGGGCTCGCGTTTGGTTTTATTTTTGTGTTTTAAGTGAACAATCAATTGCCCCAGGAGGCAAAAGAGTCCTCAGCGACTTGGCTGAGCAACTTAAACTTTCTGCCGGAAGGAAACTATCAAAGGCGGAGGAGAAAGCCCTCGGGGCCCCAGACTCGCAGCCACTGCCCCGTCCCCGCCGGGGGTCCCCGCGAGGCCGCCGCGGATCCGGGGACTCGCGGGCCGGGAGGAAAGAGCAGAAAAAGCCCGGGGCAGGCTCGGCCCCGGACCCCGGCAGGGTGAGACGGGGGCGGACCGGAGGGGCGCACGGACGAGGGGGCGGCGGGGAACAAGAGGGGGTGCGGAGAGCGAGGGGCGCACGGACTGGGGGAGCGAGGGGGACCCGGGGAACCAGCGGGCGCGCGGACGAGGGGGACGGAAGCTGCGAGAGGAGAGCGGAGAGCGAGGGGATGGCGGGGTCTGAGCGCGCGGGGACCAGGGGAGCGAAGGGGCGCGGGGGCGCCGGCCGGGGTCCGCGGCGGGGGGCGGCCAGGACTCACCCGAGAAGGCACACTTTGAGCTCCCGTATAGCCATCATGTGCTCGCGGCCGGGCAGGGCCGGGGCTCAGCAGCATCCTCCGGGGCCGCCGCGCCCGCGCCCTGCCGGCTTCTCCCGCCTCGGCTCCTCGCTCGCGCCGCCCGCGGGCGGAACCGCCGCCGCTGCTATTTCTGGGCCGCCGGCCCCGCCGCGCTGGGTCACGTGGCCGCCGGCCGGCTCCTCCCGGGCGCGTCGGGTCCAGCCTCGCCGGCCCCCAGCTCCCAGGAACGCCCCCGGACGGCGTCAGCCACCCGGGACCTGCGGCGTCGCCGGCGGGTTGCCTCCGCCCTCGGACCAGCCCGCGCGAGCCGGGCTCCCCCGGCGCCCTCCCGCATCCGCCGCTCCCGGCCCCGCCTGGCCGCAGGGCCCGGGTAGGAAGGACGGGACCGGCCCGGTGGAGACCTGGCCCCACTGCCAGAGGGTCCCTGGAGATGCCATTCTGAGCTGAGAAGCGGCTGCTCTGGCCGAGGCCGTTTGCGTGGCAGCGCTTGCAGGTCTGCGGGTTAGTCCCATCCTCAAGCGACATTCTGGGTCCCGGGCAGAAAAAGTCAGGCCACTGAAGGGGCCGCTGTGAGGACAGGGGTGAGGAGAAGGGGGTTAACTTTTCGGCCTGCCTTCGCGGCGTTCCTAATACCCGAGCTGCCGTTTAACATACGCGTGGCTCTTCAGCTCAGCCAAGTTCATTTTTCTGTATGTAGCTGAAAATGATTCTAGAAGCAAAACTGGCTGTCCGTGTCTGAAACAGGAAACTTGCATTCTGGAGCAAAGCTCTTTCTCAGTAGAGCAAATCCTGCAACTGGTGTGGGCAGAAACCCAGTCCTCAGAAGTACAGGTAGAAACGTGGAGATCCCAGCAGACCCCCGCATCCTTCCTAACTAGGAAATGAGCAGAGGCTGTGGCCGCACGCAGTCACGGGAGGCCTGGGTCATTGTGTTCTCTTTCTTCTCCATGTATGGCCTAGAGCACCTCATCCACTCAGATGACTTCATTCGTGGCTGCTACAGAAATGTCAGCCTTTTCAGTGTAATCTATCTGGACAATTCATTGGCATTTCAGATGGGAAGTGTTTTTTTAAAAAACTGATATTTTTAAAACTTCATCTCCTATCCCAAACTCTCAGGCCTCTCTCCAAACCTTTCAATTTTAATCAATGGCATTTCCATTCTCCTAGCAGACCACCCACCGTGATCATCTGGCTTTGTTCTTACAGAAGCCAGGTTGAAGCTACCCCATACCCAAGTAACCCCATCCAATGGGAAATTCCAAATCAAGGCCTCCAAAGAGGTAAGTCCTGGAATACTGGAGTCAAAATGGGCCCCAAAACAGACAATTCACAATTAAATTCCCCAGAAGAGCAGGAACTTTGCCCTGGAAGTGCAGGCTTGTGGAGGTTACTCAAATGGACTAAATTGTTCAAAAGGCTGCCATGCACAAGTTACAGGTCCATTGTGTCAGTATCTGTCCTTGACTTTGTATCCAAAGCAGAGTCTTCTATGTGGGCAGGGTGAAAAGAGGCTTGCCCAGAATCAAACAGTCCTGATCACAGTATCTCCCTGCCCTCAGATTTGCTAATCAGAAAACCACCGCTACGCAGTTGCAAAGACACCTCCCCCAAGGCCTTCGCCTGCCCTCAGGACACCCACTAAGACTTGGATGTCCACACTGAAACGTGTCCTTTTGGCTTTCCAGCGCGATTCCCAAAAGCCAGTCAAACCACAGTGGAAGCCTCCGCGGTGTTCTACATCCTGTGCACTGAGTGGAGTTTTGTGAAATTGCCTTAGGTTGCTAAGGGCAAAACTGTGCCCAGACAAAAATAAGCAAACCGAATTTCTCTTGTGTTCCCTTACCCTTTTTCATGACTGCTCTCATTCCGCTCTCCTCTCCGCTAGCCCGGGTGTCTGGGACGCTTGTGTGGTTTCTAGGCTCTCCCAAAATAGTCCCCTATCCAGCCCTTCCCTCCCTGAGAATTGCCCCAGTCCATTTGTCCTTCTCCCCACCCCTAGCTCTATTAAAAATGACCTCATTTGTGTCTCATTCTGATCAGGCCTTGGGCTCTTCTTTACAAAGTGGCAATCCTAGTCTGTCAACTGGCCCGTGTTCATGGGTTTATACCCTCTCCCCAGCCAGGTCACCCCTGAACTTAAACATGGCCTCATGAAAACCAGGTCCCCATGATCACTCTAAGGTAACCTATAAAGCTCTAGCCCAGGAAGGCAGGAAGATGACTGCTAGGAGACATATTTCAGGAGTGACAGGTCAGAGGTAGCCCTCGACTTTTTAAAAAAGTGCCATGTTCTCTATTGTTACACTCTATGATTACTGCACTGAGGGCCCATCCTGACTCCTCTGGAATTCCCTGCAAATATGGAGTTCGGGTATAGCTTCAGCAGGGATAAAAATTCGATGGTACATAACTGACAATTTATCAAATTAAGAAATAGAACATGCAAGTTTTTCTTATGAGAATTTTGTAGCGTAAATGGTCATGTGCTAATTCAGACCTCCCCTTCTCTGCTGCTATGAAGTCTCCAACAGCAAAAGCCAGGAATGGTCATAAAACTGACCATGTTTTTTGATTCAGGAAATCTTTTGTTGAACATTAACATACAAAGACGAAGAGTAAACAAAGCTGCCTGTTTGAGTATAAACACATATGCAGACAAAGAAACAAATAAATGGGTTAGAGAACAACAAAAAAATTATCTCCATGGAGGTAAAGGGAGGATTGTTGCATTAATTGTAACTCAAATCTCTTAACATTTGAGGAATGATTAGGCAAACTAGGGTGTCTTTACTGGGTGTATTTAATGGTGTACAATAGTATATGTTACTTAGATATTAAATGAAATGTGTATACTATGTAGATTTATGAGACGTTTATAGTAAATAAGGTTCTGTGAAAATGATATGACTCAAAATGTTAAATAGGATAAGTAATATAAATGTGTTACAACGCCCTGGAGCACAGGCTGATCCCTGGAGACCAGTACTGAGTCATCTGGTCTGCTCAAGAGTCAATTAAGGAAAAATAAAAGTGTTTACAACCCTTGTTTTTCATAATTTATCTTTTTTATGGAACTATAGTGTCTGCAATATCAGTTAAACAGCCTTTCAGTATTTCTCATTTACGTAACAACTCCTTCCTTCCTTCTTCCTTCCTTCTTTCCTTCTCTTTCTGAAACTTTCTAAATAGCATGTGCTACCTAATCTTATTTGTAACTCGCGCCCTTGAAACAATTTTGAGGAGATGAATCCTGGACATACCAGGGTAGGAAAGGGATTTGAGGGACTTAGAAAAACAGAGGTGAGTGGACCCCACAGTTCACCCACAGACTTGAAAAAGGAGACAGTAGCTGGTGGGTGAAGGCTGGAAACAGCCTCTGTCTGTGGGAAGGGGAGTGTTCCTGAGAACCCCAAGGAAGGTGGCTGCTCGGTGGAGGGGCTATTAGGTAAGCGGATAGAAACTGCACAGCCTCCTTTTGCAACTCCAGATGTCTTCTTCCTGTGGAAAGTGTGGTGACATCTTAGATGGGAGACGGGGAGGGTGGGGGCTCACCTCCTCATCGTCTCCATCGTCTCGAATGGGAGCGCTCAGAAGTGTTCCAGAACAAGTAGACAGCTCTCGCTGAAGACAAGGAACGCTCTGTTGGGACCTCACAAAGGATTGGTGTCAGGTGATAGTGTTTAAATTTTTCAGATTCCTGAGTGCTAGCACTGGGCAGCTTAAGCCATCTTCAGCATCTCACTGGCCTCTTTACTGACACTCCTGCCCAGCAACCTCCACCGTCCCTTGGATCTCTGGCTGAGCTTAAAGTGTTGGGTTAAAAGAAAATAAGCAATAAGATATATATTAACACCTCCCATGGAAGGTAAATGGATTGATTCAGCTGTGACCACCTCCCAAAAGCCCTAAGTAACATGTAATTCAATCAGTCCTGTTCATTTTCATTGCTTACTTGTAAAACTGAGAAATTAAATTAATGATGCAGATCAAAGTCACCACAACCCCAGTTTTGTTTCATAGACTGTCTTGGGTTGTTCCTTCTGGCGAGTCATGTAAGTTTTCTTGCAATTTTTCAGAGAAATACTATGGAGTTTAGGATTTCTTTTTCTTAAAAGGAGTTGTGTTTCACTTTTTTGTACCTTAACATTATTTGCTATCAACTAAAAATTGGTTTAATTGTAGATGTTGGCAACGATTCTTATATTGCAGGGATTTCTGTGTTTAGCTGTTTACCCACCCATTCGGCGAGTAGCAGACCCTGACTGTGCTAGACACTGGAAGAATGGCCGATGGAGGAAGAGGACCCACGCCAAAGTCGAGCAGTAAAGGAAAGAGACAAACATATAAACGGGAGACTATTGTATGATGTGAAATGTCTGAGGCTTGGTGTAGTTGCTTCATTTTGGTAACTCTTCTCATTCAAGAAATGAGTATAAATTCCAGAGACTCCAAACCTTGAATTCAACTGAAACCAACCCCAAGTAAAGGAGAAGATGCTCAGGATGGCTGGAGTTTGAACCTAGTCAACTGGTAGGTGAGTGTGTGTGTTTGTGATGGGGGGAAAATCTGGGTTTTGTTTGAATTCCCAAGACTGCCCTAGATGAGGAAGAAACTAATACAGACTCTTCCTAATCTGAAGTGCCTCTAAGAATATTTGTGTACAAGTTGAGTATCCGTCATCCAAAATGCTTGGGACCAGGAGTGTTTCTCCGATTTTGGAATATTCGCATTATACTTACCAGTGGAGCACTTCTAATCCGAAAATCCTGAATCCCAAATGCTCCAGTGAGCATTTCTTTTGAGCATTGTGTCAGCAGTCAAAAAGTTTCTAATTTTGGAGCATTTTGGATTTCAAATTAGGGATGCTTAACCTGTACTAAGAGTACCGAACTACTGTACTGAGTTGCCTTAAGGCTCCAATTACATTAGACCTCTTGCAAATTTTATTTCTACTGAGGTTATTATTGTTTAAAAAAAAAAATTTTTCAACAACATTAAAGATTTAATTGGCTTTTGTTACTGATTCATGAATCAGGCAGCGTCCCATCCAAAAACTGAGAAAATATGTTCCAATAAGCCAGGCAAAGGACTGGGCTTTGTAGGCAGGAAAGACTGAAGAAGCAGAAACAGGGAACAAAAGGCAGATTGGCGTTTTAGAGTTACTTCTCTTGCAGGGTTAAAGCATGGGGGACTTCCTCATCAAACCTGCTCAGGTAAACTGGTCCTTTTGATTGGCTGCTGTGCATCTCTTATTTTTTGGAAAGCTGCCCTTTTTAAAGTTCAGCTGGACAGCCTGGCACCTAGCAGGAATGACTCCATTCTGGTTTGGTCTGGTCCATTGGGCCTAGTGTAAGAGTTCAGTCCAAAACAGTGGCCTCCCATACATTTTATTTAACATTATTCTTGAACTACTATTCTCCTTGCTGTCCCTGGGCTTTCCCAATTACCAATATAACAGAGCCTGTTCTGAATCATCCATAATCCAATCCTTCGCATAGCACATATTCTGCTCTCTGAAAATATGGGGTGAGTGGGTGGGTGAGAGAGTGAGTTCACCGACCCGACTGATAAATCCCAAGCATGGAGGGTAGAAAGGGCCCTCTGACATCAGACGGAACCAAGTTTACATGCAGGCTCCTTTATGCCCAATTTGTGTGAATTTAAGGAAGTATCTGAGACTCTTCAACCCGTAGTTCCATCCTCTGTCAAAGATGGATACTGAAAGGCTGTTGCATTATTTTGGGGGAGGGTTACACACATGTGGGGTATGTGTGTGTGAATAGCAAGTCCAGATGACAAAGCATCCTAGTTTGCATGGGACTGTCCAGGTTTTAGTCCTGGCTGTCCCTCATTCTGGGAAACTTCAGTCCCACGTAAACTGCAATTGTTGTCACCTTGTCCCCTTCCCTAGGCCAATAAAACTGTTCTGGGCTGTTACTATCCATTAAAAAGGAAGTGCTGACTTCCAAACATCCTCACTTCCTTCCTCAATTGTTCTGAATGTAGAAAAGACTCCAGATTTAGAAAACAGCGTCAGTACTTTATGCACAGCTATACACATCTCAATTACTTATGATTCTCCATCTTACACTCAGCTCACATGGGAGGCTTAAATATGCAAATTCTAACTTCAGCTAAATAACAGTTTTTTTACTGAAAGACATACTGGGTCTAAAAGAGGAACAAAAATAGGAAATAAGAAAAGAGGGCTTGGTTTCCCAGTCTCCCGGTAGGGCCCCATCCCTACCTCTCTCCTGACTCCCTGCCCTTCCCCTTCTGCACACTTGTGTCCAATGTCATACTCTTCTACTGAACTGAACCTTACCCTAAGAACCAACCTTCGGTAGCTCTGGTAGAGGGCATTTTAAGGACTTTAAGGCAGAACTCTCCCTTGGGTAAAGATTTGTGGGAAGCTGGCCTTCCTCCAGACAGTTCTTCCCCTAGCCCACATGTGGTTCCTGAGTTTCAGGCTATGCAGCCTCCCCTGGTCCTACTGTCAGCAGATGTTCAAAACTGGGGCATCAAGATTAGCCAGTGGCAGGCCTGGCACGGTGACTCACACCTGTAATCTCGGCACTTTGGGAGACAGAGGCGGGTGGATCGCCTGAGGTCAGGAGTTCAAGACCAGCCTGCACAACATGGTGAAACCCCGTCTCTACTAAAAATACAAAAATTAGCCAGGCGTGGTGGTGGGTACCTATAATCCCAGCTACTCAGGAGGCTGAGGCAGGAGAATCGCTTGAACCCAGGAGGCAGAGGCCACAGTGAGCCAAAATCACGCCATTGCACTCCAGCCTGGGCGATAGAGTGAGGCTGTGTCTCAAAAACAAACAAAAAAAAAGATTAGCCGAGGGTTTACTGTGGTTAGCGGAGGATAGAGGGGCCCTGGCTCCATTTCTCCTAAATGGGGGAGGAAGCGGGGAGAAGGAAATGCAGATCTACTCTCAAAAATCACAGGGAGAAAGACTGACAGGTTTCAGCACCAAAAAGTTAACACTTGCTTTACGGAAGAAATATCATAAACATAATTTTTAAAACTGCAATCTGGGAAAATATTTGGCATAAATATGACTCAGTTAATAATCAATATAGAAAGAATTAATAGATTATTATTTATCATTATAATTTTTAACAAAACCTCCAAGATCCATTAGGAAAAATGAGCAGATGCAATCAGGGAGTTCACAAGTAGGAAATGCATGTATGAAGAAAGCGTTCGATTTCACAAGTAAGCAAGCATACAGATTAAAGTGTCAAGGAATAATTTTGGGCTGGGTGCAGTGGTTCACATCTGTAACCCCAGTACTTTGGGAGGCCGAGGTGGGTGGATCCCTTGAAGCCAGGAGTTCGAGACCAGCCTGGTCAACATGGTGAAACCCCATCTCTACTAAAAACACAAAAATTAGCCGGGCATGGTAGTGCATGCCTGTAATCTCAGCTACTCGGGAGGCTGAGACAGGAGAATCGCTTGAACCCGGGAGGCAGAGATTGCAGTGAGCTGAGATCGCACCACTGTACTCCAGCCTGAGCAACAGAACAAGACTCTGTCTCCAGAAAAAAAAAAAAAAAAAGGAAAAAATGTTTCACTTACCAACTTATCAAAGTTGTAAAACCTAAGGCTCCGTGCTGGTTAGAGTGGAACAGAAAGGAGAAGTCCCGGTCAGGCTGCTCAAACAACAATAAACTGCTCTTTTAGAATCACACTTTCTTACTTTATGTATGTTCATATCCTTACAGCCATTCTCTGTCATGTGGGTGCCTTCACATATCTTTCCCCCAATGCAATATTTATTTTATTTTTTACTCTCCATGAACAAAATTAGGTTCTGGTGGGTGTGAGAGATAAGGAATCTGAAAGCTCCCTGCTGCTTGCCAAATGTACATTTGCATATAGAGGGTAAGGAAGGGAAGAAAATGAAACTTAAACAGAAGGTTTAAGGATTATCTAGGATTACTCTTCTCTTTTGACTGTGAACGTCTGGAAAGGAGCATGATGCAAGTAAGCACAGCAACACTTATTGAGTGTTAATTACTAGCTAGGTACCAGGCACCCACGGGCCCTGCCAGGCTTCTTATGTCAATGATGTCACTGACCCCTGTCTAAAGGAAGGTGCCATTGTTCTTGAAACGGAGGCAGAGTCCCTGCAAAGGTCTGCCTTGGTGGGCCACAGACACGATTCAAGCCCGTGCACTTCAGTAAACATGTAAATTAGCATCCCATGCGTTCAGTTTTTAGTTTGAGGCCTTACCAGGGATATGCAGGAAAAAAATGTTGAACAGACTGGGAAATAAAATACCAAAGCTCGATATAGAGAATCAGCAGCAAAGATGAGTGAGTCAGGGCTGGCTGGCATAATCACACACACACTGGTATTTCTCCCCATTGACTGGAGGGGATTCAGAAAATACATTTTGGTGTTTTCCCTGCAGAGCTGAGGAATTTCTCCCAAAGAATAAAAATAATAAATGTTTGTAGAACATATGAGATCATGTCTGTGAAACACATTTCCCACTCAACTATGTTATTTTTAGTGCCCTATAGTTCTTACCTAAAGAGTAAACAATAAACCCAACAATGAGATATAGATAGATAGATAGATAGATAGATAGATAGATAGATAGATAGATAGTTTTTTTTGGTTTTTTTGGTTTTTTTTTGAGAAGAAGTCTTGCTCCGTTGCCCAGGCCAGAGTGCAATGATGCCATCTCGGCTCACTACAACCTTTGCCTCCTGGGTTCAAAGGATTCTCCAGCTTCAGCCTCCCAAGTAGCTGGAACTACAGGCACACGCCACCACGCCCAGGTAATTTTTGTATTTTTTAGTAGAGACAGGGTTTCACCATTTTGGCCAGGATGGTTTCGCTCTCTTGACTTCGTGATCTGTCTGCCTTGGCCTCCCAAAGTGCTGGGATTACTGGCATGAGCCACAGCGCCCAGCCTGTGATGGTTACTTTCATGTATCAACTCGGCTAGGCCATAGATATTTCATCGAACATTATTTTAAATGCTTCTGTGAAGATAGCTTACATGAGACTAACATTTAAATCAGTGGACTTGCAGTAAACCAGGGTATTCTGCTAATGTAGGTGGGCCTCATCCAATCAGTTGAAGGTCTTTTTTTTTTTTTTTTTTTTTTTTTTTTTTGAGAAGGAGTCTCGCTCTGTCACCCAGGCTGGAGTGCAGTGGCGCAATCTTGACTCACTGCAAGCTCCACCTCCCAGGTTCACACCATTCTCCTGCCTCAGTCTCCCGAGTAGCTGAGACTACAGGTACCCACCACCACACCCGGCCATCAGTTGAAGGTCTTAAAAGGAAAAGACTGACCTCCTTAGAGGAAAAGGGAATTCTGCCAGTGGAGGGCCTTCAGACTCAAGCTGCAGCAGGAACTCTCCCAAGGGCTTCCAGCCTGCAGCCTGCCCTGCAGATTTTGGACTTGCCAGCC